GCAAGCTGCCGACAAACCAACAGCGTGACTCACGCAGACTTCATAGCGCGACAGAAACGACCGCAATATACTGTCAGTTTGACCCTCACTCTCTACTTTGGTCTCTTGAATGGACACGATATTTAACTTATGCTCGGTATATAGTCGGTAGAGCTGCTGTTGCCTACGCCTAGCTGCGAGTCCCCGCACGTTCAGCGTAGCGACACGTAATGAACCTTCATGAGACACTACCATTGAGCAAGTTACAAACCTCGAGCATAGCGCTCATCTATGTGACTGAAAGGGAGCGGCTGCAGCACCAGACAGTCACTGCTCGTCGTCTCGGGGTAGAGCCGACAAGCCGCCACGGGGTACGACCGACGAGCCACCACGGGGTACAACCGACGACCCGCCACGGCCACCTCTTCGGCATTTCCTCTTGCTCGCCATCTCTTGTAGCCAAGACTCAGAACAAGGGCCAGACGTGTCGGTCGTCATTGTCGCCTCGTTGAAAGGTCGCTTGGCAGCTGCCTCGAAGTCCATTTCACCCGCGTCTTCACCATCCGAGGCCTTTGTCGTGTCGCTCGCGGGCGGTGCCTCCTGCGCCGTCACCTTCACTTCGCTCGCAGGTTCGCCGCTGAGTCCATTTCCCGGTGCCGTAGGAGTGGTCAACGCCTGATTTTGCGCGACACACGGCTCCGTGCTGGCCTCCGCCCCCGTTGTCTGAAGCTCTGTCGGTGAGGGAGCTGTCGTCGTGGGTGACGCTGACTCCTCCGCCTCAGCCTCGTCCATGACGTGGCTCATGCCAGTGTCGTCAGTGGTATGGCTGGCGACGCCTCGGGCGAACAACCGCACGCAGTCCCTAGCGTCGTGCCCGGAGGCTCGATATTTCTCGTGTTTAGGAACCCTACATTCACGCCGTATGTGTCCCGAGCGACGACAGCGAAGGCACAACGGCGCGCGCCCGGGAACGAAAACAAGTTCTGTGCCTCCTCGGAACCCGAACTGGTGAGGGAGAAATTCCGCGTCATGCCATCCTGAAGCACCAGGCGCACGACGACTGTCGTGGTGTCCACGTCCGACAGGCCCTCGACCTTTCACCTTTCCCGGGTCACTCCCTTAACTTCTCAGTAGGATTCGAAGGCTCGACGGATAGTTTCCGCGGGCACGTCAAACGCCACCCAGTGAACTTTGACTTTTAATTCCCGCTTGTTGGGGTCGATGGCCAGACACAAGCGGTCCTTCACTTGCAAGTGCCCTGTCGCTAGGAGCTTCTCCTTGGCTGCAGTAGTATGCAAAGTTAGGAGCCACACGTGTCCCATTTCAAAGGCGCCCAGGCCCTCCACTTCTTCCCGGACACCCACCTGGTTAAGCGGCCGAACAAAATCTTCTACTCAATCGCAACGTCCCCTCCTGCAGTTCAAAGCTTCGCCGGAGGGAATCAAGGGCAAAATAACCGCGTAGTCACTTGGCAAACCGCCGAAGCCAGCATCACCACGGCTTGAAACCGTCGTTATCGTAGTCGCTGAAGAGCTCTCCATCGCACGTCCGTTCGCTATCGCGTCCGGCGATGGAATCCCCTGAGCTACTGTAGGTTGAACCGCTTTCCCGAGTCGAAGCCGGGCAGCACCACGCATTGGCCACATTCGCACCTACTAAAGAAATAGTTTGCGTGCATATTCAATTCGCAGTACGCACTTGTGGTTGACGTTTGCGCGAGCGATGTCTTCAGCCGCAAGAAAGGGGTGACGACTCGGCGACGTCTTTGTGCCAATCGGCCTGGAGGTAGGGCGTGTCATACGGGATGAATACCGATTCTTTTGATCCGTTTTAAATTTTTCTTTTAAAGTCAGACAGAATTCGCTATACCGCGAACGCAGTTCTGAAGTAGAGGTCTCACTCCCGTCGTCCGCTGCCACCGCCGCCCCCGCGAGTCCCACGATACGCGAAACGATGCCATGTTGAGAATTACACATTGAACGTACAGAATGCTCCCGGCTTTCTGTGCAGCTTTTTTTTTTCAATCAACCTAATTGCAGGTTTTCAGAATCCACAAAAAATGTGTTTTCTATTTTTTCTATTTTTTTATATTGAGTGTGCGCCTTGAATGACCCACGACTTTGATTAAATTTTGTGGTTGTGTCTAAACCTTAGAAAACGGCCCGTGACCACGAAAAAGAGATTGAGCGCGACTCAAACCGGCCAGTTCTTGCTCGTCGGTTTTCGGGCCGAAAGAAAACGAATTTCGAACCGCAAATCCTGTTCTGGGTAGTTGGGCTTTCATATGTCACGGACAACTAGAAACCTCGGCGAGCATAAATACCCGGTCAGTGTCCCTTTAAGGTGTGCTTACTTCTGTGCTTTTACTTGTACTGCAATCATTCTGCTTTACAGTTCACGCTTTATAAACTTATGTGGAATAATGGACTAAAGGTTATTCTTAACAATCAATGCACCACGTCAAAGTGCCATCGCATCTTATATAAGTAACTAAAAAACACTCACGCAGTCCATGAATTCATTAAAGGAGCTGTGCAACGATTTTAACGTTGAAAGAATTGGCATTTTCTGCTTTTGATATTGTTCACTGTGTCACAAATGGCAGAAAACACACCTCCTTTCATCGCAATGTTGCGATTCCGCCGCGTAATAGCGAGGCAAAACTTGGAATATTTCCCGACCTGCAGCCACGAGCGGCGGCCATGAGAAACAAGCGGCGTGACGTCACTTGGGTCGTTGTAAGAAAGATAGCAAGTTGTGCGAATACCTGCTCGATAAAAGGTAACTCTTTTTACAAATCTTGTCGTTCCAACATATATATAAATGCGTCAACACCCTGGTATCATCCACAAAACTTTTATTATACGGAGTTTTAGTGGCGCCATCTATCCTAGGTCCACAAAACCGCGAACAGCCGCCAGAAGCCGGAGGGGAGGGGGACAGCGCCGGACGGGCAAGGACGGGTGGTCACGCGGTCGGCAGCGGATGAGTTCTCGCTGCTCGCTGATGGTCTAAAGAGAGAACTTTTCCGGAACTCCGCGCCTACTCTAGTGACGTCACTGTGCACGTGACCCGGAAGACGATGCACGAGTTGAGAGGCGGTGAAAACCTGGATCTTTTTCATTTTTTTAAGTAAAAACTAGGGTATCCAGGCAAAATCTGTTTTCTGTAGTTCACTGCAGAAGTGTCAGGCATCAACTTCCACAATTATTTAAGCAAAGCCCTGAAATTGTTGCACAGCTCCTTTAAAGTGTCCAAGGCGCATGTATTGCACAGTGTCCCTTCTTTGCAAATCTCGTTTCTTTGTTTCCTGTTATGCTGCAGTGCGTTAAAAGGGAAATATTTGTTTCCCTTTAGCTCTCAGGAACAAGTCTCTCTTTTTTTTTTGTGGAGTTTTGTGTTTCACCGTATTGTTTATTGTCAATTTCGTTTCCGCTTTCATGAGCGTTTCATTCGTTCCAAAATGACTTGCGTAATGACACCTCTTTTTAACAGCGCGTGAAAAACTTAATTGGGTTATGTTCTTAATTAGGTTTAGGGTTATGTTGGTTTTATTATGCGACCATGTTACCCCAGCCATCTAGTTTCGTTAAACACCCTAATAGAAGACATATCATATATTCTAGACTGCATTTAGATTAAATAAATTACACCACCCTCCACTTCTGACATTCAGGAGCGCCGAGCATTTACATTTGTGTGGTTTAACAACCGACAAGATACATGTTAAGGACCATAGAGAGCTAAAGTAGCCAAATAGTTAAAATAAAAATTAACCGCGGTGGCCACAAAAACGTTTTAAGGAGTGAAATGATAATCCAATGTATCAATATATGTAAAACGAAATTGAACTTAAAGGGGTCATGAAACGCTTTTCCAACTTTTTCCTGTCTAGCTTTCCTCCTCAACTCATAAATCGCACATTCCACCGAACAGTTAAAGAAGACGAAAAGGGGGTGTCCCCTCTTGCTCGCACTCCCGTTTGTGTAATCCCGGACACATCCATTCTCCCCCTAGAAGATTAGCCCGTCGCTCAAAATTCAGACAAAAGTTGCTTTCCCCACCCCGTTCATTCCGAAGCTGACAGTGCTGTTGAAGCTACGAGCTCGTTGGGCCAGCCACACTTGCCACGTGAGCGTGGCAAATGTGGCTGCAGAGAATGAAATCAGGTGATGAAAGGGAGGCGGCTGATTGATCCGGCAAGCGCGTAGCTTCCACCACAATGTCAGCTTAGGGGTGAAGGGAATAAGTGAGGTCCGGTTGCGTGTGACGTCAGTTTGGACCCGATGACACGCTTTTGGGACCGCGGATGTATCACAGTGAAAAGGCAGGGAGGTTGCGAAGGGGAGGAGGTACGAAATAGTCCGCTCTGTTTTCAAATTTTCGCACTGAAAGTCAGGCTTTTGACTTTCTACCTTTTTTCTTTTGGTCCACTGAACGATGTGCTATTAGTAAAATCCCAATCTAAAATGATTTATCCCAACCCAAAAATCGTTTCATGGGCCCTTTAACAAGCAAACGAATTTGATCCGGCTCAATACTTGAGTATTGAACAGGCAGGTCTAAAATTGAGCTTTGATTGCTTTGCTTGAGGGATATTTTAAGACACCATATAATCCGGCCGTGAAAGCGACCTTATATCTTAATTTGCATTATTTAATTTGCAAAAAAAATATAAAAAAAAGTTTGGTTGCTGGCATAAATGTCGCGTACCTCCTACGCTTGTGAAGTAGCATTTGCTTTAAAGATTCTGTTTCCTAAGTGACCATTTGCGCGCACTTTCCTTGATCTAAAAAATGTTAAACTTATTTTTAGACAACCTAATCCACCACAATAAAGCCTGTATACGTTCGAGGTAAACGCATTAGGAGATCATTTAGACTGGGGGAAGAAACTGGTCCTCATACTCAGTGCTTCGAATAAATGTATCTATACGTGTAAATTCTAGTTACTTTACGTGTGAAATGTAATTATGTCTATTATAATGCAAGGTTAAATTAATCGTCACCTTTTTGGTTTAGGTCAACATTCGATATGCTTCAATGACCAGTCCGAATTTGAAAGTGAAATTATGTTCTGTAAAAATTATGTCGGTAAGTATAAGAACACCTTTCTCTATCAAACTGCACGTATCACAAATAATTAGCTCAATCTATGCATTAAAATTACCGAACATTGCGATACCTAATGTAGCGGTTGTCTCCTCTACAATTATCAGAAAAGTGTATAGTATGCAGCGCCACAGCTGAACAATGGGAGCGTGCCAGCACTCCAATGCAGAAACCAGCGTACGCGCCGACTCGCGCGAGCCGACGCGAAAATCGTCTGGTTAAAGAGAACGTGTTGTGATTATGAGTACTTTAACTAGAAAAAGATGAAAACACGAAGCACGTGCACGAACAGAATCATACTCATTCATTCGGCAACGACCGAATGTTTATTTCCGGGCACAAAAGTTTCGCGCGTTGACCAGGATATATAGTTAAAAAACGGGGGACGGCCGAACGGAAGGGATCATATTCGGTAAAACAGATAAAAGAATTATCTGCCCTCCCGATTATAACTACTTCCCTTCTACCCCTGCCCGTGTTATCCAGATCCTGGCCAACGTGCGGATGTTTCGTGCCCTGAAATAAACATACGTTTTTACTAACTGAAAGGTGCGGTTCTTCAAAAACTATCCTTTTTACCTTGATTATTTCAATTTAAAGTAAAATATCGTTTCTTGCTTAAGCTTTGGACGGTCGCCAATTCATTCTCTTGTACATCAAACACCCTACCGAAAAATTGGTGATCCGGACGTCCGAACATCATGAGCCAGAGTAACGCAGGCCACATCTTCCAACAACGACGGTACCTTGTCCGCCATCCAGCTCCACTTTCCGTCCTCCTTGGCAAAAAGTCCTGGGGCTGGGTTCTTCCAACTGGAAGCCCAATTTCACTTACGGCGAATCACAACTCATGTCTCCGGCTGTTATCTTGTTGCTTCCGTCCTTCCCTCAGGAGTGGCTAATAAACTGGACGACGTCCTAGTCACGCCTCCTCCTGACGACTTCTACGACTACATAAAGTGAAAAACGCCCGCCAGAAAGACAGTCAGAAGCATCTGGGGTGCCAAACTACCATGAATACCAAGAAGCTGGGTGACCGTGGATCATATCAAATGCTTCATGCGAATTCTTCCTCCGGCGCTTGCCCCAAGTGATTGGCATGGCCCTTGCCCCAGCAACGGACCTGCTCATAGATCGCCTTCCTGAGGTGGTGGACCGCGTCATTGCGTATGCTACGCCAAGCCTGTTAAGCGTCACTGATAACTCCCATCAGTGTCCCACTATGCGAGCCCTAGGAACCGTCATAGACGCCCTGAAAACTGCCATCTAGGCAGTCAACACAACGGCTAGCTGCTCGCGGCGTCCACCAACAAATATTTTCATCTTGACATCGAAACACATGTCGCCATCGCAATCCATCTCAAGGTCGCAGCTCACCGTGACAACGAGCGTTTCCTGTTGGTGCTACCAGGCATTCGGCAAGAACGCACGCAAGTACCAACAGCCGTGCGACTGGCAGAAAAGAGATGCGGCCCGTCACTATAGGTGGCAAGTGACGTGGCACCAAAAGCAAGCCGTCTCTTGTTTATTCGTGCACTGGTGCCTATCGAAATGGCCGTCATCTGGATGATTGTCATAGAACAACACGAGGCGGGGTCTGGGACGCGTAAGTAATTCTAGTTTTGCTGTATACGAGCAGTGTTAGAGCCTCACTTTATTTTTTCACGTCAGGAAGGTGCAGGCAAGCACCTTCATACTGAATCCTTTTATCCAGGAGCTATGGAGCGCTATTCTCGCACCGCGGTACCACCATCGCTGAAAGTTGCGAATAACAAATCGCGTTTCCCGTCAAAGCCTACTCGTCCACACACTGCGAAAACGTCCGTTATTTCACCTACATCAGCTGAAAGACGACGCCCACAGACGGTTGCGTCGCTGCAGATGGGTCAAATATTCCAACATGGTGGACGTTCTCACGCATAGGATTACGCAGGACATTTCGGTGGGTCTCCGTCACTCCTGACGCAACCCAGCACCGCTCGGCTCAGGCTTCCTATAGTAAAGTGGTTAGTTAGGCAAGTTGGTAATGATTGAACATGGTTAAAATTGCGCACAAATAGAAATGCACAGTGCAGAGGGAAGAGGGAAGAGACAAGCGCTCACAATTTGATGTATTAAAGGAAGAAAAAAAGAACAGCCCGCGGCATCAGCTCGAGCCGAGGCCACACTCGCACGGGGGCACCCGAGCACGCGGAGGACACACACCATCCTCAGCCACACTCAAACGATTGTAGAAAGCCGATTTCCTTGTCGGTTAACGCCACAGAAGGATGGCTGACACACCTCCTAAGTGAGGTGTGTTGCGATCTCTAGACCTTTCCCAATCTTTGGAAGCCAAACCACCTGTGCTGGTCATTTTCCCCCCGTTCTAAAAAAAGGTTTAAACTCCGAAGGAAGATGTGTTGCAATTTCTAGACCTTTCCCTACCTTTGCAAACAAACAACCTGTGCTGGTCATTTTCACCCCGTTCTAAACAAGGCTTACTACACTATAAGTTCTCGCACTCTAAATTCGTAAAAAGAGGCATAGCTCTTTCCTGCCTTGCTTCAGCCTTAAAGAGGTCATGGCTCCGCACCATCAAAAGCACGCAGTTTAAATGCTCAAATTGAGAGGCTTACAGCGTCTGGGTTTCCAACGCAGGTGCTAACAGAGGTGGTAGGGACCCTGATAAAAAAGCAAAAGGATCTGAAAAAACTGCACGTAATGTCGAAAAAAAAAAGAGTGGTGGTGGTTTCTTATATACAGAGAATTTCTCACAATCTGAAACAGGTAGCCAATAGGTACAAAGTCCCTTTAGTGATGTGAGCCCCCACAAAAGTGCGTCAAATGTGTTCTTAGGTTCGAGCAAAAGTAGAAAATATTACAAAACAAAAGGTGCCGCAAAAAACACGTCCGCCCTTACGTGCCCTGTTCAACCACAGTGGTCTATAGCATTCCCCTTTCCTGTGGTAGATCCTACGTAGGACAGACAGGACGGTGTATTAATGACCGGTTAAGGGAGCACAATCTTTCTCTAAATTCCACAGTGGGGGTCACCTACCTCTGCATTGTCAAGAGTGCACATTCTTTACAAAAAAAACTTGATAATTGGCAGATTCCACGAAAAACACACTAGGGAAATTTTTAAAGCTTTTGGTATACTCCACCTAGACGAGCGTTCTGTCAGCCATCCTTCTGTGGTTTTAATCGACAAGGAAATGGCCTTTCTACAATCGTTTGAGTATGGTTGTTGATGGTGTGAGTCCTCCGCTCGCTCGGGTGCCCCCATGCGAGTGTGGCCTCGGCTCGAGCTGATTTCGCGGGCAGTTCTTTTTTCTTCATTCAATAAATCGAGTTGTGAGTTTGCGCTTGTCTCTTCCCTCTTCCCTCTTTTCAGTATTCCTTTCTATTCGTGCGCAATTTTAACCATGTTCAGGCCCCCTATCCCATTTTGATTTGAACGTCAGAATGCACCACCGACGTCTTATTGATAACGGGACTCATCTCACTGTCAATGACATCTCGACATCCTTGATTTCTCCTTATAATTAGAATAGTGTACCTACTTAAGAATTTGCGGACATACCTGTACGAGATCCAGAAATCACGAAGACATCCAGCATGGCAGAGAAACTGCCAAATGGTGTGACCCACCGCATCCTTACTCCCGGCCCACTCACTTTTGCGCGCCCTGGTTGTTTATATGGTGAACGACACAAAGTCGCACGGCAAGAGCCAAATGAGCAAAGTCAACCTGGAGAAGGCATATCAACATATTACAATCGAGCCTACGGGTATCGCGAAAACAGCCGTCACTATTGCGCTCAGCCTGTTCGAGTATATCTAAATACCTTTTGAATTACGAAACTGTGCAAAGATTCGTTCACGAAGCCCTTCATGAGCTACCTTTAACCTCTGCCTACGTGGATGACCTCTCTATTGTGAGAAGCTCACCAAAGGATCACGCCAAACATCGGCGGCTGCTCTTCGAACGACTCCATGAGTACGGGCTCACCATCAATGTTGCGATGTGTACCTTAAATTTGGTGCTGCAGCCTTGGAATATCTCGGGCATCGCATCAGGTTCGCTTGTATTCAGCCTCTTCAATCGATGATTTAAGTCATTCCAAACTTCCCGCAACCAACGACGGAAGCTGCGGGATTTTCTGGGTATCATGAACTTTAATGGGTACAACATTCCACATTGCGCAAAAATCATAAGCCTCTCGCAGATTTGTTCCGCGCTCCGAAGAAACCTTCGACGAGGTACAGTGTACTGCCAGCGTGGTGGATGACCTCACTCTAGTAAAACATGCCATCGCTGACACCACACTTTTTGCGCACCCGCTGCCAAACGTCTGAACGCGCGTCATGGTCAACGTGCCTGATGTTGCCGTCAAAGCCGTACTACAGCATTACAGAGAAATTCAATTTAATCCAGCGGAGACCCTGTACAGCACGTTGGACTTGAATTGTATCATTTCACACGACCGTTCACCATTTCTGATACTTCCTCAAAGGCCGAACCCTGGCCTTGCTCACCAACTACAAACCACTGATTTACTTATACATTCGTCGCGAATCACAGTTCGTACTCCGCCAGATAAGCTGGCCACCTCATCTTCATCTCGGTATATAAGTACATCTACGTAATGCCACCGGAGCAAAAAACTTGCCAGGAAACACACTTTCTCGCATTGACGTTGTCTCCGAGTCTCCGGCATTCAATTTTTCGAACTTGGCGCTAGCTCAATAGGAAGACTCCGAATTGCAGAATTTAGGGTTTCCTCAACATCCCCGCAGCTACAACCCGTTGCACAGTCACTTTCCAACAGCGAGGTCATCTACGGCATGTGAACTGGCACACCTCGACCATATACACCTCAACAATTCCGGCAACCAATATTTTATGTCATTTATGATCCTAATTATCCCGCCATTCGCGCAACTCAGCGCCTCGTTACATCAGGATACGTCTAATCCCGAATCAAATCTGACATCTG